TATATATATATATATAAATAATGATGTGACAACAATTATTGGTGCTTACTTGAAGAAATCATCTTTGCAGAACACATGGCCGTTTCTCGCAAAACATTTATCGGTCAATCTGGCACCACAATCCCGACATGTCAGACACCTTGCATGCCAACACCTCTCCAAGACCCTTAGAACGTATTTATCCAAAATAACTTCCTGACATCCACCACATTTTGGTATAGTGGCTGTAACATATTGATCGATGCAATCGATGTAATAAAAAGTATAAAATAAAATTATTAATAATAATAATTATATATATAAATTAACACATATTGTAAAAACCAGCACATTACATAGAAAATATTTCTGAATATTATATCTGTTTAAATATTAAATTTATTTCCATTATTTATCATACAATTTATAATAAATTAAATATTTATTAACGGACATCACATCAAAAATCAAGATTAATCGCAACGTAAAAAATATCTATGAATATTTATAGTAATATTTAGAAAATGGTCCAACGAAATTATTTTCAGGTTTGTATAGCTATCTAAATTTCTAGACGCAGATACTTCAGCAAAATCATTCTTTTCGTGAAGAAACTCGGATAATTTCAACAGCTTAATTTTGGAGCTATCCACTAAAACGGAACAGTCGTTCGACACTTACAATGAAGGATTGTTGGGATATGTAGAGGCAGATGATCGAGTTTGAAGGTGGGCTGATCTAACGGATACATATCGCCCTGTGATATCGCGGAACCGACGCTGCTCGCACTGCTATGTTGTTCCTGACGGACGCTGCGCGATTCCGGACTACTTTGCGGAGTTAGGACGTCGTGCCGCTGCGAACGGTACATTCCTTCCAAAGAAAAAGACTCGCACCCCAACAACTCTAGTCTCATCTTAGTCATACTTGCTGCCGCTTTAGCTTGTAATCGCAGTCGCCGATATTATCTACGAGTTCCTGCGATTTCAGCGAATGTAATGCTCCGTACGGAGCATATCGATGCTTTTTTTTCTGTTCGAGAGATTTTCTTTATCAAGGAAAGAGTCAATGCTGCGATATCTTCCTAATGGTTACTTGTAAGGCACGGTAGAAGGGGAGAGTATCTTTGGAAAATCCAGACTTCTTGTCTCAGAAACGTATCTAGTGGAACGAAATTTGCAGACTTTTAAACAAAAAAATCTTCAGACAGATGCATTATTAATTCTCACGAGAAGACACATCTCATTAAAACTTTCTCGCTGCCTTCCTGTCGGCAGTCTCCAGAGACTATTGTCGTAAACTCTTCAAAGTTGCTATTGGTATTTAATCCATCTTAACTGCACAGTTCATTCTTCAATTGAGACACTTGGAGTTCACGAAATCATATGAAATTCACTCAAACTCCTCAATGTGTGTAATCAATATTTTTAAATTTGTTGGAATTTGAAATAAATCATAATTATGGATAACATCGATATAATTATGAAGCTTACTATAAAGTTACAGTAATCCGAACAAACAAGTCTGACGTATTCTACAAGTTTGTATCTTATCGCATCAACACTTCTATGAATATCGTGACGTAAGAAAGACACTCGTAAAGCAGCTGTCGCGACAAGCACGGTACGGGGATACGCGCACGACTAGTTCACCAGCAACGATGTTGCTTATGCGCACGTGACACTCGTGGGTGTGGCGGCTGATTGGTGGGGCAAGTGCCTGGATTATTGGGTGCGGTCAGCACCCACGCCAGCGTCTGGTAAGTGCCGATTGGAGGATGCTCGACCGCCCACCAATATGGCGCACGCCACCAACGCCGTACGATTTCGAGTACCGCGTTGCTGGGGTGCTGTTGAGTGCTCCGAACGTGGCGTGGAAGACGAGAGGATGAGAGATCTGGAGAAACGGAGGCGAGGAGACACCGCTGATGTTCGTTGATGGTGGACGATATTAATCCCTTTGAACGAAGAGCTCAAGGTGCCTGTAGTAAGATGCTAGCAAATGTAACCCGATCTTTTGCATTTGTCTTTTATTCACGTTGTTAAACGTTAAATCGTACATCTTTACAAAGAGGCGCTGAATTTTAGTGTTTAGATTGATATACATCTTCATTATTGTGTATTAATAGAAGAAAACGTCATTTGATGGACATTGTTCATTTACAGTATTAAATTGTACAAAAAATATAATAAGATAATTATACTTAATAATGTTCTATGTAAAAGTTGTGACTTTTTATGAGCCATCAATATTGATGGTCAGATTTAAAACAGAAAATATTTTTAAATATAAGTAATTAGAAATATTAAACATTTTTAATAATTACATAGGTAAAGGTTTAATCCAACTGTCCATGTAACTACCTGAAAAGCAAATAGGCCATATTGGACACAGTTATCTTACTCGAATTTTGTAATACTCTAATTCAATTAATAAACTGATATTCTAAAGTAAGAAATCTCATCTCGCCGTTTATAAAAATTTCGTGAGAACATATATTATTAACGATAGAAAGACAGTCAATACTTATCACGTGATATTATTTATTAGAAATAAATTAATAAATAGAAGAATCATGTAAAGCACATTTATTTCAGTATACATATATTGCAGTGAGATGAAGGAAGCAAAACAAGATAAACTTCGTTTCGTCGGATATTAAAAATCCCCCTAAAGTATATCTATATCGTCTACGCTTAATAACTCGACGCTGGTCCGTCGTCGCTTATTAATGCGTCGCGGCGGCTGTATTCATTGGAATCGTAGTGCAAAAGAATTCGAGAGTCATCCCCTGGGAGCTCCTTTGAGCTGCTGATTCTCCTCGATTCGGTAAGCAACACGAAGCGCGCCGCACAAGGAAGGATAGCGTCTGTCTGCGAACGAGGAGCCCGGAGTAAAAGGAGAAAATGAGGAGAGGAAAGGAGGAAGAAAAGAAGGCGAGAGGACAAAAGGAACCGAGCGAAATTAAGAACAGTCACGGGGGATGAGGGACGCCATTTTATAATCTTGCCCAGGATCATTCGCGTATATTTCTTCTGCTCTCCTTGCCCGCCTATCATTTTTGTTTCTTCCTTTTTATCCTCCCCCTAAACCCGCGTGTGCACTCGACCGTACGGATCGATCGCACGCGTACATAAATGCGCACAGATCGTAAAGGTCGTAGTTGCAATTATAGGACGGTTCCTTGATCTCGATTTATTTTTAAACAGTTATCCTTTATGTTTGACTCATACATCTGATGTGTCAAAAAGCAAGAAAATTAAATTGAAAAAATGACAATTTTTATGAAATTTCTATTTTAGTACATTTTACAATAGGAATTGCAAAGAAAATTGATTAATTCTGACATACATACACCTACAGCAAATAAAAAAGTTTTATTTTGTATGAAAGGTTAACAATATTAATCCATCATTTTATTCAGTTTAGTATATTTTATAAAATTATCTCTTTTAATTAACATTATTCTTCTGTACACTGTTAATGTATTATAATAAGATTACTTATATATTTTATTATTGTTATATATTTGTATATAACAATACACGAAATATGAACTTTGTCTGAAAGATTAATATCATTTGGAGCGTGACTAAATTTTGAGATTTATTTATTTAATATTATACAGTAATGTAGGTAATTCAATTATTCGTAATCACTCTATATTCTACTTGGAAAGAACAATTTTGCTGAAGTATCTAAAAATGTAACTAAATATAGATCTAAAAATAATAATGTGTTCTGAAAAATAACTTTATTAAAATATGTTTATGATAAGGCTCAATAAATTTAAAATAATAAAGAAGAAAAGGGCTATGAGCCAAAAAAGTCGTTAAAATATACAATTGTTAGTAAATAAAAATTGTCATTTAATTAAAATTACGTAGTTTAATTAGAAACAAGAAATATATGACAAAAGACAACAAACGTTTCGACCTCTATTAGGTTATTATCAATGTTACAATGATCGCGAGTTGTTAACAAATGTACGAAATTATAAAATTATAAAATTATAAATAATATAAAAAATAAAATACATATATATATATGTTGGTCAAACAAAAAGAAAATTGAGTACTAAATTAAATGAACATATATCTGATATTAGAAAAAAGACAGGTTCTCCCACTGTCATAACTGCAGATCATCGCATTAATTTTAACTATAATTTTAGATGGAATGACGTTAAAATTTTAGACATTGAATTTTCCTACAGTAAGAGATTGGTGTCTAAAGTGATTCATATTAAAAGACAAAAACAAGGTCTTCATAAGCAAAATAATACTGAATCTTTACCAGAAACTTACTCATAGATTATTAATTCTCTCTCTCCTTCTTACTCTTAATTTCTCCCCATTTTACCACATGTATTTACCCTCTCCAAATCCTTTTTTCCCTCTAATTACCAATGTAACCTTTCTTACTTGAAATGTCTTAAAAAATATAATATAAAATAGCTCAAGTAATATATATTAAAATTAAATAAAAATATGTTTTGAGAAGGGCTACAAATCAGTTAAAATTTTAATACTTAAAACAAAAAATTTATTGTTTGTAAATAACAGTTAAAATGAAAATATAAACAACAAACGTTTCGATTCCGATCGGGTCATTATCAATGTTAAGTATATAATACAATTAAGACGGTTAAACAATAAAAAGATCACAAATCAATTACGCCTTAACGCAAATTGAAGGATTGCTCTTGGAAGTTCTTATTTCTATAATATTATATGTATATCACTGTGTAAAGTTTCATTTCATGTGGTTCGCAATGATAAAATGTATAGTTTACAATAGAAAATTGTAAATCTGTTAATATACAGGAAATATAATAAGTAAATCTGTAAATACCTCTGGTTGTCATAAATATGTTACAAGTGTAGAATATAAAATTAATCAAAATATAAAATATTTAAATACTAAATCTAACAGGACCGTACATGTGAGAAACACAACCAATGAGAAATTGCCATTAACGGTCAAGTTGGATCTTAGGTGCTATTATAATTTCGTGTGAATTTATATATTACGAATGTAGTCTTTTAAACCGCGCGCCGAAAAATTTTTCGGTATTTAAACGCTACTCTACGAAACTACCGCAATAATATCACTAGTTAAATTATCTACCAATTTAACATTTGATGCTCATGACATCTTGGATCTTAATAATGTTGAATGACATATTAAAATCTGTAAATAATTAATATAAATAATTAATTTATATTGCGAAAAATATTACCTCGGCCGGGAGTCGAACCCGGATCTCTGCACTGAAAAAAAAAGTTCTGAAATCGAGTAAATGTAGTTACTTGTTTTTCATTTTTTTAATTCAAGAAATAATTTTATCAATGTAAGAACAATTGACTTGCCTTTAGTAAATATTAACTCAAACACAGTAACATTTTGATTACGTAAATAAAAAGTATCAGTTACAAATAAATTATTCTGAACTCAAGATTATAATTACTAAATTTGAGTAATCAATACTTTTCATTTAAGTACCGCACTAGTTTCAAATCTAGATTTTTCTGTTGAGTAAATATTGTTTCAACTGAAGAAGGAAATATACTATTGAATCACATAAACATAATTACTTCCAATTACTTGCTTCCAAAAAAGATTTACTTTTTACAATTACATTTCTGTTTCCTATGCGATACATATATGTATACTTATTGCAAGAATATATTTCATAGCATTAAGTAACTATTTTATTTCAAAATTAGTAAATATTTACTCGGAACTATTTAAGTAACGGATTTACTTCCATTGAACAAATATTACTTAAATTTGTTATAGCAATTTTTTTTTCAGTTGACATTCAGTGCGAGCGTCCTACCAGTTAGACCTAAGTCAAGACCTTAATAGAAAATTAAAAAATATAATAATAAAATATAAAATACTTATAAATAAAAAATAGGT